ACTGGACAAAATCCATCACTACTGCTACCCATTTCCACCACAATCAACGAAAAAACAGAAAATTCTACAAACTCGACATGAATTTGGACATAACGCTGAACCGCTCTTCCTCGCGGTTCCAACGAGAGTCAAGAAATTAAAAATTTGTTCGCCTAACTTGAAAATAAACAAACTGCTGAAATAGCAAAACCAACAAAACGGCGTACATATCCTTTTGCGACGCATAAACATGAAAAGAGATTGCCGAAGTAAAATAAACAACTCTCAAATGGTTTTATTACTCGGCGACGAAACACTTTTGGGTACTTTGAAAGATACGAACTAACAACATGGAAAAATTCTTCGTTTTATTTTTTAAAAATATATAAGGAGTTTTTAATATATTTTTTTATACGAGGAGGTTTCAATATACTCAAAAGAATCAATGAAATTGAAAATGCTACAGGTTTCATATACAAACTGCCTTCAATTCTTCTTGTTGTTTGCCAATTTCTTCGCTTGCTCCTTGGTGACTCCTCTCCTGTCTAGGATGGCGGTAATTTCATCGTCCCAGGACTTCATGGGTCTGCCCCTCGATATTTTTAAGGTTCTTCTGGCTTCCCACACTTCTTTCACTTGTCTTTTTTTATCCATCCTTACCATGTGGCCGTACCATCTCAGTTGGGCTTCTTCAATTTTCTACTCTATTAATTGGACTTTAAGGCGTTCTCATATTTTATCGATTCGTATCCTGTCCATTCTGGTCACCCCTAGTACTCTTCATAGATACTTCATTGAAATACTTTGCAGTTTATTTTTTAGTCTGGTGGTGAGCGTCCAGCTTTCACATCCAAATGTTAAGATAGATACAAAAACTGTGTTGTAGATAGCTATCTTTGCTTTTTGGCATACTTCTTTTTTCGATAGGAATGTGCTCCTAATTGCGTGGTATATCCGGGAAACGTTTGTTATTCGATTGTTTATCTCTGCTTCTTGTGTACCCCTACTCTCTAGTTGCACTCCCAGGTATTTGAAGGTGTCGACTTGTTCTAAAGTGTAGTTATTGATTTTAATGTTTATATGTTGGTATGTTTTCTCACATACCATGACCTTGGTTTTAGTTTCATTAATTCTCAAATTACGTTTTTCAAGTTTATCTCTCCATATTTGGAGGTTTCTCTTAAGTGCGTCCTCGTTTCTTCTAAATACGACGGGGTCATCTGCAAATGCGCACTGCGCTATCTGTATCATTTCCAGGTTTCTATGTCCAACAAATATTCTCGATGTTTGTTCTCTAGTTTCCTTCATTACATCATCTAGTACAATATTCAACAGGATGGGGCCTAGTACACCTCCTTGTCGTAAGTCATCATTGACTCTAAACTCTTCTGATTCCATATTATCTGTTCTTACTCTGTTTCTTGTGTTCTTGTATAGGCTCATAACAGATTTTCTGAGTTTGCTGTCTACTTTTCTGTTTTTTACACTTTTGTCTATTTCGGTTCGCGGGGTTCTATCAAATGCTTTTTCGAGGTCTATGAAGGCTTGGTATAGTTCCGTGCTTGTATTTCGTGCATTTTCTATTAGATGCTTGAGTGTAAAAATATGGTCATGGATGCTTCTTTCCTTCCTGAAACCGCTCTGTGACTGCTCCAGCTTATGGTCTACTTCTTGTAGTAGTCTGTTCTCCAGTACTCGTCCGTAAACTTTGGAAGGGATACTCAAGAGAGTTATACCTCTGTAGTTGCTGCATTCTCGTCTGTCACCTTTTTTAAAAATGGGTAGAATAACGCCCACTTCCCAGTCTTTTGGGATCTTGTTCTGATTCCATGCTTTATTGCAAAGTTTTCTAAGCATTTCATTTCCATTTTCTCCCATATTTTTTAGCATTTCTGCAGTTATCTTATCATAGTAAGCTGCCTTTCCTCTTTTGAACCTGAGTATTATTTCTCTTATTTCTTCTATTGTTATTTCGTTTTGGTTTGGGTTCTGAGATGGGTTTTCTTCAGTGTTGTCTATTTCATTATTATAGTCTTTTTGAGTCAGAAGGTCTTCGAAATATTCTCTCCACCTGTTCATAATACTTTCGTTCTCGCAGAGGATGTGGCCATCTTTGTTTTTAATTTGTTTTGGTGTTTTTTAACTTTTAGTTAAATATAGTCATTCAAAGTGTAATAACATTTTACTTAGCAGTTTTTCAGGGTATCTACAATAGAGTGGTTCACTGTATTTTAGGCAACTGTCAAAGGTCAACTATATGGCTCCAGTTATCTGCTTGCCGCGAGAGAACTTCTTCTATATACACTTAAATGGATGAATACTTTTCCGGAACATGATTTTTTTTAGGCCTAACTCTTGCTAGTTCGAAAATCAGGTTTACATTTTTTTTACATTTGAATGTTGCTAAATATTTTTTGTGTCTTATTTTTCTGTTTAGTTGTATCATTTAACAGAAATTGGTTTGCTATAGTTGGTGTGTTATACCTAGTTTGCGGTACATTACTTACCCTCTTTTCTTTTCTAGAATCTCTTTTTAGTTTATTTATTATCTATCTATCTATACAGCTCTTGCTGTCCCATTTTGTACATAGCCCTCCTCTTCCTTCTTCCACGTCTCTCTATTATAGGCAGTTTGTGTCCACTTTGGGCCTGCGTGTTTCTTCAAGTCATCTGACCATCTCATTTGTGGCCTTCCTCTTTTCGATTGTAACTATGTGGTCTCCAGTGTATAATCATCTTATTCCATCTGACGTCTTTCCGTCTTATGGTATGTCCAGCGAACTTCCACTTAAGTTTTGCTATCTGCGTTGATACATCGATCACTCCTGTTTTGTTGCGGATTTAAGTACTTCTTTTCTTGTCTGATAACCTGATGTTCAGCATTTGCCATTCCATGACTCTCTGGGTCTTTGCTATTTTTTCTATGTTTTCCTTTGTAAACGTACAAGTTTAAGAACCGTAGGTGAGAACAAGAAGTACACATTGGTTGAAGACTCTTGTTTTTAAATATTGGGGGTATTTTCTATTTTTTAGTATATCTTCCCATTTTTTTTCTTTGTCCTGAAGTAATAATGTGACGCGTTTGATAGTCCTTTCGCTTAAACGAACCATGCAAAGCTTGTGCTTTCTGCAAAGCAGCAGGTGTATGCTAATATTTCTAATCCCTGAGTATACGTTTTCTGGATATCTCCTTAACTTCTTCTTCACGTGCCGTATCAGACTTATCTGACGTTTGTAATCACCATTGCGAAGGATTTTCCATCTTCTGCCACTGTTCTCAATTTGATATATCAGTTCATTCTCGAATGTTTTTTACCTTTAACGATTAGTTGTAATAGCCTCTATCGATTTTCTATCGGTATTAAGAAATGTCTTATTTTGTCACGTTAAACAGTTTTCTTCTTCTTCATGTACCATGTCCTTTCAGAACGTTGGTTACCATAATAGCTATTTTAATTTTATTCACTGTCACCCTAAATAGCATGCTTGTATCTACACCATACCAATCTCGCAAGTTCTTCAACCATGAGGTTCTTCTTCGTCCTGGACTGCGTTTGCCTGCTATTTTTCCTTGCATGATATTTTGTAGCAATATATATTTAGGACCTCTCATTATATGTCCGAAATATTCCAGCTTTCTGTGCTTGATGCTTTTTATGATATCAGTAGTCTTGCTGAGACGTTCTAGTAATGTGCAGTTACGAATCTTCTCCACCCAGGAAACTTTTAAAATTCTTCTATAGCACCACATTTTAAAATGGCTAAAGCCTCAAGGCGATTTAGATCGATTTTATTCACAGTCCAGGACTCGACAGCATAAAGTAAGACCAAGAACACGTAGCAGCGAAGTAGGCGGATCCTTAATGCCAATTTTAGGTCTCTGTTACATAACATCTTTGACATCCTTCTAAAAGCAGCTCTAGACTGCTCTATTCTGGATCTAATTTCGCCGTGATTTTCTGCATTACAATTTAATTGCTGTCCAAGGTAGACGATTTTATCAACTTGCTTAAGTTTGGTATTATTTACATATATAGACGGTTTTATATTCTGTTGTTTACTTATTACGAGTATTTTGGCTTTCCTTATGTTAAGATCCAGACCTGCCTCCCTACAACTCTCAACGACGCTATCAAGTAGTGTTTGCAGATCTTCTTGACTAGAAGCTAGGAGTTTGACTAGAAACAGTTTTAGTAATTGCTATTCTTCATTTTATTTCTATGTTTGGATCTAGTTGGTTTTTTTCCAACAGTTCCCAAATATGTAATTTTGTGAACTTTTTCAACCTGAAGCTCTCAAGGTTTTGTTTGAGTTTGTTTTAATGTCCATTTTCTCTCCTACTTCCTGAATACGATTAAGCAGAGTTTGGAGACCTTTTATATTTTCTAACAGAATTACTGTATCGTGCGCGTATTAAACTACATCAAGTAGTTCCCCATTAATTTAGATTCCATATAGCTGTCTCTTAAGTGCATTTTTAAATAGCTGGTCCGAGTAAAAACTGAACACTGTTGGGGACAAAATGCAACCTTGTCTGACTCCACGTTGTATAGAGATTTGGTTTGTGTAATTGTACCCATTTTGTATGATAGCAGTTTAATTCCAGTACAGATTTTTAATGGCATAAATATCTTTGTTATCTATTACTGTATTTTTAGCATCTGAATTAGTTTAACATGCTGTACTTTATTAAATGCCTTTTCGAGATCAAAGAAGCATGCAAATACATATTTTCTTTAAACAGGTTATTTTTGTAATAGCATATTTAGCCTAAAAAGTGCCTCCCTAGTTCCCATAGCATTTCTAAAACCAAAATAAGTATTTTTGAGCTTTTCTTCGCATGTAGTTCTAATTGTGTAGGGAAGTATTCTTAGGAAAATCTTGAGAGTGTGGCTCAGTAGCCTAATTAATCGATACTTACTGTACGTAATCTCTGTAGTTTTTCTACGTTGCATCAATTATTTTGACTTGGCTATCTTCAACAACAATAAGAAATATGGCAGAATAACAACAAAAGGTATATATTATTAAGGTTTATTTGTTAATAAAACGTACAATATCGACACTATTGTTAAGTATATTTTGGATTACTTTTTGGCTACTTTGGCTGCAACAAAAAACAATATATTAATACTAGTATTATCATTAACGTATTAAATTAAACGATAGTATGCATACTTTCTTATAATAAAACTTTAGGTAATTGTTATAATTACATGTTGTTAATTATTATGTTTATCAACCAACAAAGCGATACCAAACTGGATCGTACAAAATAAAAAATCAAAGGAGTTTAGCTGATACGATAATTAAATTAATCCAAGCCAAGCTTTAATAAGAAATATAAAGGATAGATACATATAGTTGGAAAACAATTTATATATTATTAAAGCTGTACAGTTCACCAAAAATAGAACAAAAGACCTGGTTCTAATAGTTCAAACAAGGCCTCAAAAAGCAGTATCTAAAGAAACAGATGTTGTGATAGTGCGTGTGGAGGTGAAACTAGTTTTGTTTAAAAACGCTTATCTGCGCTACAAACGTATCATAAAAATAGGAGATTATCATGATGCAATGAACTACGACAATTACAAAAAGTGGCTTCAGGATAAGGTGATATCAAATTTGCCACCAAATAGCATTTAAGTGATTGATAATGCACCGTATCACAACGTACAAACTGAGAAATATCCAACTATGTCTTCCAGAAATGCAACAGTGGCTGACAACTCGAAATATTTCATTTACAGATGAGATGTTGAAATTTGAACTATGAGACATTATAAAATTACACAAACCTCACTTTAAAACGTATGATATTGACAAAATACTCGAGGATAAAGGACATTTAGTTTTACGGTTTACCCCCGTATCATCCGGATTTGAAGCCTGTAGAGTTAGTATGGGCTTCTATGAAGCAATACGTTGCTGAAAAAAAATGTCAGTTTTGATTTTAAATTAGTGGAGTTTGTGTGATGAATTTTTTAATGTTAATGTAAAAAATAGAACAAAGTTATATGGCACATCAGCCAGCTTTTGACATCGTTGTGGATCAAATAATCATAAATGTAGGTATCGATAGTGACAGTAATTCTGAAAATGATGAGATATACTCTGATTCTGAGTCAGATGATTTAGAATTATGAACCTGAGATACTTATGTTGCATTTCTTTAGAAAGTGTTAGGTATTATAATCGTTTATTAATTTTTTAGAACTAATGTTATTTTTATTTAGTTCTCCGCTTACGATTGTAGCAGTCGAAATGAAAGAATTTTTAATTTTTGCCTTAATCATTTATAGGACCCCTACACGGTCATTAATAATCACATTACAAAATATTTTGCATTCTTATTATAAATATTTTATATGTGACTTATTTGTTAAATACTAAATATCTTATTTTTTTAAGAGTTTACAGTTTTTTCATACTTTGGGTAAATACTCAAAGATAAAGGCCGCTTTTGACAAAAGGTACTGGTAGAAAGACACCATATTTATGCTTCACCGGAACCGAACATCTAATTTCTATTAGTACTGTATTAGACGACTGTATTACTACTTCATTACCCTACTGCTTACGCCCTTTTTCTTGAAAGTTTTTGGTCAATATAATGGTAATAATATAAAGTATAACTGGTCAATATAAAAATGTAATTTTTGGTTTAAAATGCCATAATTTATAGCAACACAAGCGGTTCTTGTTGGATCTATTTTTTTACATCTCACTTTGTAGAATAAATACCACAAATATACTGAAGAAAAGTAATGACAGTAATAATAATTGTGTACGGGACCTATTAGAAAGTATTCAAACTTTACGTTTCTATATTTGTGTCTCCGCAGTGGTTATTTAATTCAACAAAGGGGATAGCAGCTTTTGCTAAAAGATTTAATCTTTTACACATTTTGCATAGCCCAGAGGACACAGAAAACGATATTATAATGTCGCTTTCGTACACGGCCAAAGCAGGTGGCGCCTCTGTACACTAACTACTGTTGTTGTGAAATTTTGGGAGATAAGTTAAGGTGTTTAATTTACATATAAGTTTACATTCTGATCTGAAAAGCCTAAATTTCCATAAAATTCTCGATAAAAAAGTTAGGAATTCTCAAGATCATTAAAAGAAGACGAATAGAAGAAAGTTAACCTTATTTGCGTAGTAGAATATGCGAGAACATTCAAATATCTATAAAATAGAAGGATTAGAATATGATTTCTTTCAAGAGTATTCTTGAACATTGAAATGATATAAATGATCTGGGATTTAAAGGACAGTATGATAATTCATTTTTAGTTAATTATTAGTTAGTTAGACAGTCAGTCGGTCAGCAAATAGTACAAGTAGTTCATTAGTAAGTAAGTCAGTACGGTCAGTATTAGTATATTAGTATAAAGAACAGTATTCAATGAGTAGCATTTGTTGGTCAAGTCAGTATACAGAAGACAGTGATTTAGTATGAAAGTTTTATAATATTTTGGAAAGTATATTACATGGAGATTAAAAATTATATTATGTATATGGAGATTAGAATAAATTAAAATTATAATATTTATATGGTGATTGGAGATTGGAAGAAGAAAAAATAAGATTATTAGAAAGAAGAATAAACAAGAGAGCAATAAATAAAGAAGAATATTTTACCGATTTATAAATGCTATTGAAAAAAAAAATATTTTAAAATGGTGGAAGCTGATAATTAAAACATTGTGGTGTATTAACACAAGTTATGGCGTCACTAACACGCAAGTACTCCAAACTTTAGACAAAAGATGCGAAATTCTAAATGAGATAAAAACTAGAAACATGGAATACTTGGGGCACATTGTGAGAGGTGAAAAGTACGAACTTTTAAGAAACATCATGCAGGGCAAAATTAAGGGCAAAAGAAGTGTGGGAAGAGGAAAAATATCGTGGCTTCGTAATCTACGTGAATGGTTCGGGTGTAGTTCGATTGAACTTTTTAGGCGCGCTGCTAACAAAGTCGCAGTGGCCATGAAGATTTCCAATCTCCGCTGGGAGTGGCACGAGAAGAAGAAGAAGGTGTATTTGGAGAAGCAATTTTACAAAAAAAAAAAAGGATAACCGAGGCTGATAACGAAGATATTGAGTGGTGATTAAACCCTTTATTTTGGAGAACAGTTTCATTTAGGCATTCATTGACAGAAAGGTACCAACTTTTGTTAATATAATTTAATTATTGTAAGAATTTCAATTTTAAGATAGGTTGTTCTAAATTTATATTGTCTACATTGGATATATGTGTGTTTCATAATAATTAAAATAAAGATGATTTAAAAAAGTACTTACAAACTAATTCTTTAAGAACAGCGATAAAAACCCTATATTTATATATGTTATTTTAAAATACTCATTGCTCATACACAAACAAAACATCATAGCAAATGTATATATATATATATATATATATATATATATATTATATATATATATATATATATCTATATATATATATATATATATATATATATATATTATATATATATATACTGAAATAGCGATGAACGCTTGTAATCAACGCTGATCAAATAGAATACAATACTCAATATTTGGGTGCGCAGCGGAAGATGGGACAAAGAAGTACTCTTTTTAGTTAACCAAGCTTTCGCAAATTTTTATTTGCATCATCAGGGTGCTACAATAAACAGAATTAGTATAAATTACAGAGTAAGACTTACTTTGCCTCTTACACTAATTGAGGTTAGTTGTCTTGATGTTTATTAAATGAAACTGGCAACTCATTTGACCCCTACAACTATGGCGAAAACTATCCAAAAATTGATTTAAAACGTTCTTTAACATACATAAGACACTTAGAACACACATACATAAACATTTAAATAAAATTATGTTAAAATAGTTACAAAACATGTACGTAGTCACAATATAAAATTTTGGTTATAAATATTCTTATCAGAAACAAAAGAATTGTTGTGAATTCATTGCTACCAACTTAAAAGACAGAACGTTAGATCTTAAGTGATAACGATGTAAAGGTGATAGTATACCTGATAGAAGCTGAACTTATTGAAAAAGAAAAGGTGAAAAGACTTATTTTAGAAATAGGAGAGATATTGTATATCTCATATATAATTAAACTTATATTGTTGACGATGAATTGTCTGTATTAGTAGATTCATGTTTATCTAAAGTTAACAATAATGAATATAAATTGCTTAAATTCTTGGTATCTGTCTTTTTAATAATGGTTTCTTTTTCTTGAAAAATGAAAGCCATCTCGAGAAACAATCTTTTTGAATAATTGCTCTCCGTGGATAGGATTTTTACATTTGAAAAATCGAAAGAGTGTCCTGTTGTGTTAACATGTGTGGCTAGGGAACATCTATCAGGGTGTAACCTAATGTCACTCTTGTGAACAGTTAAACGGCTGGAAACTTTTTTGAGGTGTGACCTATATAAGAACCTTCACAGCCTAAACAATTAAGTTTGTAGACCACATCACTTTTATCTAAGTTTGGTACTTTATCTTTTAATGACTTGTACAGAGATCCCACAACTAGAGTGCTTTTATAAGCAATTTTTACATTTGGTAGGTATTGAGCAAAAATTCTGGTCAATTTGGGAGTGACGTCCTTAATAAATGGAAGTGATGAAAAAGATATATTAGGAATATTGTTAGTCAGTGAGTGGGAAACAGAGGTAATTTTCATATCACCTGTATTTTGGGAAAGGTTTACTTGTGTGTTGAGTATAACAGAGGATGTATTAAAGATGATTTTCCTAAGTAAGGATTCGGGGTAAGAATTATCAAGGAACAACTGTAAAAGGATGTTGAGATTCTTCTTTCTAAAAATAGGGTCAACTAGTTTGCAAACTCTTGTGGTCATTTGTTTTACTAGAATAATTTTCATGCTTGATTTGTGGTAAGAGTGGTAGTTGAGATATCTTCCAGAGTTACACTTTTTTCTATATTTTTCTATATTTTTCGAATTTTTAAATGTAAAAATCCTATCCACGGAGAGCAATTATTCAAAAAGATTGTTTCTCGAGATGGCTTTCATTTTTCAAGAAAAAGAAACCATTAATAAAAAGACAGATACCAAGAATTTAAGCAACTTATAATCATTATTGTTAACTTTAGATAAACATGTATGTTAAAGAACGTTTTAAATCAATTTTTGGATAGTTTTCGCCATAGTTGTAGAGGTCAAATGAGTTGCCAGTTTCATTTAATAAACATCAAGACAACTAACCTCAATTAGTATAAGAGGCAAAGTAAGTCTTACTCTGTAATTTATACTAATTCTGTTTATGGTAGCACCCTGATGATGCAAATAAAAATTTGCGAAAGCTTGGTTAACTAAAAAAGAGTACTTCTTTGTCCCATCTTCCGCTGCGCACCCAAATATTGGAGTATTGTATATATATATATATATATATTATTATTTGTAGTCTCAGCAATTGGTCTGTGTGAAATAAAAACTCTATTTGTTATTTCTCAATATTTCGTCACGATTTTGTGACTTCTCTCAGGAGAAAACTGTAAATTTATTATAATTATTATATGTAAACAAAATGAATAATTTCAATACTTACAAACTTAAGATTAAAAATTTTAAATTTTGATAACATATCCAATTAGATAAATGACATTTTTTGATTTAATTTATTTTGGGAGTTATGGTAACCGCAATATTTTATAGAGTGAAATTCCCATTGTACAATTTTTAGCGAATAAGTTTTAATAAACTTATTCGCTAAATAATTGTTTATTAAAACTTATTCGCTAAAAAATTGTACAATGGGAATTCACTCTATAAAATATTGCGGTTACCATAACTCCCAAATAAATTAAATCAAAAAATGTCATTTATTAATTGGATATGTTATCAAAATTTAAAATTTTAATCTTAAGTTGTAAGTATTGAAATATTCATTTTGTTTACATATAATAATTATAATAAATTTACAGTTTTCTTCCTGAAGAAAAGTCACAAAATCGTGACGAAATATTGAGAAATAACAAATAGAGTTTTTATTTCACACAGACCAATTGCTGAGACTACAAATAATATTTAACACAGTACGGTCGAGAATAATTTGATAAATATATATATATATATATATATATATATATATATTTACATATATTTATATATAATATATATATATATATATATATATATTATATACATACATATTTGAATATTTTTATATTTTATAGTAGGTATGAGTGCAGTTTCCTAAAAATTGATTGCAATTAATAATAGGACACTTACGGCAGTCAGAATCTTCAATCTTGACACACCCTTTACTCTTTTCGCTCCAATAGAGATCGTTTGGACATTGGAGAGGTCCTACCCAGTGGTTATTTTGACAAATGAAGAATCTGTGACAGTCATCAACATCACCTGTCAGGCTACCGTTATCGCAGTAAACAGCTAAAAATATTAAGTTTATAATAAATTCATTTTGATCATTACAACTAAAGCAAAAATATACATAAATATAAAAATCCAGTAATAGCCATATTACTGGATTTATTTTTTTTAATTTTTAGTTAGTTCTCTGTCCCATAAATTTATCATTCTCTAACACTTATCGGTCTGTCGTTCTCCTTATTCACTAGTAGTTTGAAGTTGAAGTTAAATATTTTTTATCAAAGACACGTCTCACAGTTTTTTGAAATATTCTAACTATAAGACGTTCTCTAAAATCTTGATGTTTTTATAACAGACTAGTTGTTCTATTAAGGACTCAAATGTGTATTTTGTTTTTATTTAAATCGTTAATGCTTCTTTATTTTTAATTTAAATTTAAGTTTTTTAATTTAATTCTTTATTCCAACTGTTTATAAAAGTACTAATACTAAATATTTACTTACGTGTTGTACCATAAACTTGGGCTGAAACAAATGATACGTTGTTAATTTTTGGTTAGGAATTTTAGTTATATTAATTTAAAAATTATTTATTTCTAATACTGTATTAATTTAAGAGCCGTTCTTGCAAAAATTTTCAAGATCTCCAGGCATTAGTAAATCTAATCAATGAAGCAATTTATCGGAGAAACCTTAAAATTAAGATTTCAAAGATAAAGTGAATGCGGGTGAAAAGATTAATGTAGATGTAGGTCACCTTTTGCTTAGTGGTGAGGAGATAAAACGTGTAAAACAATTCCTAATACCTTGGCAGATGATTAGATGTAAATTGTAACTGATGAAAAGATAAAAACCAGAATCGAAATATCACGTAAGGATTTTTTGATCTAAAAACCAGTTTTATGTAACAGAAACCTGTCGATGGATATTTGCAAGAAGGTCCTTAAATGTTATGTATGATCTATCTTATTATATGGTTTTGGTACATAAACATTATAAACCACAATGCTTAACAAATTATAGGCATTCGAATTGTGGTGCTATTCCAAAATTATCATGAATTTCATCCACTTCCAATGTAGATGTTTTTCACATTATAAATTCAGAACGTCAGAACAGAATACTTCGTTTCTCTAATTAGAGGTCTCACATACCATCGACTTCTACTTACCCTCATTATTATTGGTGCTATAGCCCTATAAAAAAGCCTCGACCTTCCCAAGTCTATTACCCCAGTCAGTTCTATCCAGTACCAACTGTTGCCAGTTTGCTGCGCCTATTTTTCTACCATCCTCATCTTCACCATCCCGCCATCTGAGTTTTGGCCTACCCCTACTTCTACTTCCCACAGGTTGTGACGTAAGAATTCTTGGAGGGTTGTTCTGCTGTAATCTTGCGAGAGATCTTGCCCATCTTAGTCTTCGTATTTTTATAAGAGATACTAGGTCTTTACCACCAAATATATATTTATATCTGTGGTATATCTCGTAGTTGCTCCTTCTTTTCCAAACAACATTTTCACAGATGCCACCAACTATTCTTTTCAGGATCCTTCGTTTAAATATAAGCAGAAGGTTTTCAGCCGCCTTGGAAATGGCCCATGTCCCCGATCCATATGTCAATACTGGTTGTATAAGGGTTTTGTATATGGTTATTTTTGTTTTTCAGCTTAAGTTTCTGCTTTTTATATGTCCACCCAATCCAAAATAGCATTTGTTTGCTAGGATCATTCTTGACTTGATTTCCTCCGTCATGACATTCTCCTTGGTTATCAGGGAGCCTAAGTATGTGAATTTGTCCACCACTTCAAAGGTAGAGTTATTAACAGTGAATTGGTGGTCGAACATCATCTGCATATGCCAAAATTTGGGATGATTTATTAAAACTGTTTTCTTTGTTGTCTATCTGGGCATTCCTTACCGCCCTTTCCAGAGCTATCCTGAAAAGGAGACACGCCAGCGCATCTTCCTGTCGCAGCTCAACATGCGTTTCAAATGTCCTGTATTTCGACTTTGCAAATAACCTTACGCATTGTAGCCTTAACAAATCTACCTAAATACAACCGAATTATAATACAAGGAAAATTAGAGCCTTTCATGGCTACTTATTATTAGACAATGGTATGGTTACCACAGCAGAAAAATAATTTTGGCCAGCAGCAGATAGATAAAGGTTTCAGGAAATTGTAAACATGATGATGCCAAACGTCTTAGTATAAACACGGCACCCAAAGAAAAAAAAATCAATTTAACACTAATATTTATAAATGTTAGGAAACCGGTGTTATACTCATAATCCTTGTTAATTTCTTGTTCTTCTTTTTTTACATAGACATGAATTTGTCTGTTTTTCATAGCGAACACTGGTGAGCATATATATGCTTCTCTCTGTTGTACTATCCGTTTCGTGTTTTGTGTCATATAAATCCAGTTGTTTGTGACTCCCCTTTTATTATCTGTCTACCTTGTCGGAGATCTTCCCCCTGTATGCTTGAACGCTACTTTATTATTTGTCACTTATTCTCATATGTTCATTTTCTTTGCATCTAGTGTGTGCTATTTTTTCTACAGCTTCTCTATTTCTTGTTATTTGAGGTGAATGCAGAGAAGTTGGCTATGCTGAAATTTGGATATCGTAGAATAAGTGTGTTCTTAATCTGTTAAAAGCTGCACATGCTAATAATATTCGCCGTTTAGTTTTGCAAGTATTTATTTCGACCTATTGCATAGATTTTTAATACAAAATAACCACAATTTAAAAAATACGTTCATTTTATATTTCAATTTTCAGTTTAACATACAAAAGACGCAAAAGAGTTGTACTCAAAAAAAAAAACTTAATATGCATTAATACCGAAACTGGAATAGCTCAGGACTCCATATAGAACGAATGGGTTAAAGAGTACCTTCAATACCTTTTTTCTAGGTCGTTTATACCTTAACAGTTTTCTCAATAGACATGTGAAGGTTTTTTGTGAATCCATGAATCATTGATGTTTATTTAAGTATGTTAAATTTAAACTTACAGCAGTCAGAATCGACAGTACATCCAGGTACATGAACATTCCACAAAAGCGGATCGGGGCATATATCATGTTGTTTTACTCCATCAATACATTCGTAAAATGCTTGGCAATTGGTTGTATCTGGAAAGTATTCGCCATCCTTGTCACACCGAAGACTTGGATCTACTGTTGGTAAGGTTGTTGCTCTTGTAGTTGGTGTAGTTGTCGGTGTTGTTGGGGGCGTTGTTGGTTGTGTAGCTGAAAATTGATAGGGTTGTAATTAGGTAATTTAATTTTTCAAATTCAAATATCATTTAGTAAAACAGCTAAAATACCAATACAAAATATCTAACTTTTACATTAATAATTCAATATTATTATTTTACGACTAAAGAATACGTAATTTCCCAACCTAGCGGTTCTTTCACCGTATCATCCACCTTTAAACCGTCCCGCAAACCATTTCACCTATAACTGACCGTAGAACTTTGATAAACAAAAAATCCAGTTGATAGTCAAAAATTTTAACAGTCATAGTACATCATATGCCCATAATGAAGCCGATGCAAATGGTCAGCTGCTGGAAAAATAGGCATAGATCAACCCACTCTTGATATCAAACGACACAAGATTGCGACGTTCGTTTAACAGTAAAATTTGACAACGCACCTAAAACCCCGATAATTACTTTGTAAGCGAGAGAATACAACACTCTTGTATAAAAAAATCTATGGTGTGATTCCTAAGACTTAACATAGGCCAACAGGTATTCACATTTATGCAACCAGCAAAACAACCGAGATACCAATAACGTTTCAACTTCAAAAAAGCTAACTGGACTGTGATAACCTTGATAGTGAATTCAACATTCTGGATCCAAAACTATCTTTAAACTATCGTATAAAACTTGCAGGGGCATCTAAGCAGATCATAGCAAGAAGCTGCAGAAATAATTCATACCAGTTCTATCAAATGTCTCGAATACACATTAAAAAAGTATAAAAAAGTATTCAACAAAGACCCATTCAGCGAAGAAACGAAATAATAGAGTGTGGCAATGCCCCTATGATATCGCTGAGCGGAGCTTGGTAGAAGCAGCAGATAAAAATACTTATGCATGTGCATATGTGGTATAGCAACAAAATTCTTTGGAACCTAATAAGAAAACCAAACAGTGACCCAAAGATGAGCAAAATGCCTTCGGACCAAACTTCCAACCGGATAGCCCACCAACTACCTCTTAATGGCAAACACAATACCACAGGCAAAAAACAGTACCTTTTACCATCAAAAACTGAAAAAAAAATTAAATTTATAAAAATGGGTAAGCCACGGTGGTCAATAATATATGCATGAAGCAATTTGTTTGTTTTCAAGTTTTCAATTGCATTTTCTATCAGTCTTTTATTGTATTTTCTTATGTCTTCCTTAATACTTTTCCTTATTATCTTACAAAGTTCTGTGTATTGTGTTCTCTGTTGCTACTTACTTTTTTTCTTTTCTTTATCTTATTATTGCATTATAGCTTTATTTTAATTTTACTACACAGTTTACTATGTTTATATCATTTTTGCGATCATCCGATTTCTTTGGCACTATCAAGGATGATTTTCAATTTATTTAGTGCTGTCGATTTGGTCATATATAATCATTTATCAATTGCTGTTATCAATATACAATATCTCTGTATATTGTATATTATGAAATCAAACTAATCATTATTATTACTACTTTACGAAAATATTCATATAATTACAGAACAACGAATAAGAATGTTTTAAAAGTAAAAATTGATCAAATTGCTTTTAAAATATTTAAAACCTGATTATCTCAAAACTAAGTTTTTTGGCTTATTATGTGTCGCTTGTAAGCCGACAATGTTATAAACCTAGAAACCGGTAGCTTAGAAATTTTGCAACAATAAAAACCTTACTTAAGATTGTGAGGAATGACTTATCTTCTATAGACTTCAGTGGTTATCTCAGTAAGAATTTTTTTAAAGTACATGCAAAAAAAAACAAACATTTAGTAAATCTACGTATCGAGTGACCAAGTACACAACGAAATGCAAATACAGTATTTCGACCTGTTCTTTCTATAAGGACTTGTTTATTCTCCAGAAAAATGGCGTTACGTTGACTTTACCCCCTTCGACATTAGGCCTCTACACTGGTCGTTAAGCAAAAATTATTTTAGCATTTTCAGATAATGTAGATGCAGTAGCACAGACAACACTGGAAGTTAAGGATATATTATCGAACTTTGAAGAAGCAACACTAAGCGTAGGCCTGAAAATAAACGAAGAAAAAACTAAATACATGGTCGTATCAAAAAAGGAACGACAGCGAATAAGACAAAACATTACCATAAACGATCATAATTTTGAGGTGGTCAAAGAATTTAAATACCTAGGAGCAACAATTACCAGTGAAAACACAGGAGAACGAGAGGTTGAAATACTAATACTGGCGGGGAATAAATCATTATTTGCCATTTAACATCTAATGAGTTTAAAGCTTCTCTCAAGGCGTGCCAAAATCCAAATGTACAAAACCATAATACGACCAGCAGTGACATATGGAAGTGAAATATGGACATTGAGAAAAAAAGAAATCAATAAGCTATTAGTATGGGAACGCAAAATCCTGCGAAATATATATGGTCCTTGCAGGGACAGCGTGACAAATGAATGGAGGAGCACATACTACAATGAAATAGAGACTCTCTTCGGGAAAGAAAAGATCGTAAGGTACATAAAAGCCAATAGATTAAGATGGGCAGGCCACATGGTACGGAGTGATGACGACAGACTGATTAGCAATGTGTTTTGGGAAAGACCAGATGGTAAAAGATCGACAAGAAGGCCTAGAAAAAGGTGGAAAGACGCAGTCAGGGAAGACCTGGAGAAGATGGAAGTATGGCCATGGAAAATAATGGCACAGTATCGGAATCAATGGAAGGCAATAGTAAACGCGGCAAAAACTTACGAATAGTTGTAAAAGCCAATGATGATGATGATGACTGGTCTTTACCTGTTAAGCGCCCGAATTTCCTCCCGTGAAAGAACTTGCAACAAAAAATGTGTTTTCGGACTGTATGTAGTTTTACGACTAGTCAAGGAGAAGCAAAATTAACACCATAAAAAGATAGCTTTACTATGAAAAATTTAGGTTTATTTATTACTTTTGATAACATTTTGTTAATAAATCGCATTTAAATTTGTGTTTAATATTTTTTTTAGTTCTCTGATGCAAAAAGGGGACATGTCCAGCGTTATTTTTTTTTTTTTTGATATTACCATTAAATCAAATTTTCATAGAAATGACCATTTTTTGTACTACGACTAAGGATTTCCATAGTTTTCACTGTCTTCCTTCACTCAACCGTTTTCTCCAATTTTCCCTGTCATTCCAGTCTCCATCTAGCAGGGTTCTTTTCTCCATAGCCTCGTCGATTTCGTCTCTGAATGACCTTCGGGGTCTTCCCCTCTTTCTTCTTCCGATCGGGCTCCATTCAGGTATTTTGTTTATCCAGCGTCCTTTGTCCGCTCTTCTGACGTGGCCGTACCAGGATAGTCTCTTCTCCTCTATATAGTCGATTATGTCTGATTGCACTCCCATTCTCCGCTTAATCTCTGCGTTTTTAATTCTGTCTCTTTTGTAAGTATACAGCTTTTCCTCAGGAACTCCATTTCTACTGCTCTTATTCTACCTCTATTTCTCTTGTTTATGGTCCAGTATTCGGATCCATATGTCAGGATACTTCTTGTCAGGGTATTATATATTCTCTTTTTTGTCTTTATCGTAATGTTCTTATCCAACATCACTGAATTTAGTTGTCTTATACAGTTTCTTGTTTATCTTAGTCTGTTGTTTATATCTTCTTCTGTTGTTCCCTGGTTCGATATTATGGTTCCTAAATACTTAAATTCATCTGTTCCATTTACTTGTCTTCCCTCGTCTATCTCTAGGTTTCTCATATCCTTGTTTTCTGTTGTTAGGTATTCGGTTTTCTCTAAGTTTATTTCCATTTCGTTGTTTTTATAGTCTTCTTCTAGTTTTCTGAGCATAAAGCTGAGATCTTGTGCGATGACTACTTGATCGTCGGCAAAACTTAAGGTGTATAGGTATTCGTCTCTTACTGGTATGCACATTCCTTCGCACTTTCTCCTCCATGGTTTGAGTGTCTTTTCCAAGAATATTTTAAACAGAGTGGGAGACGAAGAATAGCCTTGTAGAAGTCTTTTTGTCGTCTTAAATAGATTGTAGGCTTTATTTCCACATTTAATAGCTACTTTGTTTTGTTAAAACAGAGGAAGCTAAGAATCGGCACATGGAATGTGCAGGGCTGGAGAACAAAAGCCAGTGAAGTAACATCAAAAATCGAAAAGATGAATATCGATATTCTCGTCATAACCGAAACAAAAAAGAAAGGAAACGGCACTGAAAGAATAGGGGAACTAGTCCATTGTTGGAGCGGAGTAGAAAAGAAAACCGCGCAAAAGCTGGAGTTGGAATTCTACTAAAGAAGAAATGGGAAAAATCTATTATAGACCATTTTTTGTGAACATGTTATATATAATGTACTAGGGGCTACCTCTACATATCAGTTACAAATATAAATTAATAGAATTAATAATAAATCAGTTTTTGCTTTTGCTGAAAAAAAATTATTATTTTCTTAAATTTTAAGATCAAATTAAATGAAGTTTATACTTACGGCCAACGGTCCATGCTAAAAAAAAAAAGGAATTAGTTAGTATTATAATATTTAACATTGGTTTTTAAATAAAATTGATTTTTGTAGAGACTGAGTTAATCAAATTTATAAAATTACTTTTATAGAGTAAAATATTTTTCGAGAAATAGCTGTTGGAGTAAGATAAATTAATATATTCAATTTTTGTTATTCTTTTTACTTGACTTATACATATTTTTTTTGTATGTTGATCACGTTATTTACGAGTGATTTTAAAGTCACAGTTAATACAAATATTTTTTTTTATTTGCACCAATTACCGCATTTCCATGTTAGTGCATTTAGTATCTACCAATTTGTTTCTCTATATCTTGTATCAACGTTTTTATGGATTTGGCAATTATTGTAAATTTCCACAAAATATTATACCATAAAATAGAAAAGCTAACAGTTTTTTTCTCCACAGATTATATCTAATCTTTAACTTAACATAAATATTTTACTTAAAAATCATTAACCTCAAAAAAAATAATTACTAAAAGTTAACCATTTTTTATGCAAATAATCTGTATACGAAACTAAAACTAAATAATATGCATTAGAGATAATTGGCGACGTGCAAGTACTTGGAGGGGATACGAGAAACGATCGTGCGCGAGTAGTGGAGAAATTTTGCATTTTTTACTGTACATTTCATAGATTATAGATTTCATAAATTCATATTGTCAATTGTCATATTTCTAGTTCGTTTTGTTTATTTACACCTTCTGTCACTGAAGAAAATGGGATTTAGGAAATGCTGTGTTATAAATTGTAAAAATACAAGAAAAAATTGCCAATTTAAGTTTTATTCGTTTCCAACTTCGAAGCACAAAGCTACTACAAAGAGAAAAGTGGATTTATATCATAAAAAAGCATAAGTAACATAACCTAAATTATGCATTATTCTTGCGCCCGATTTTAAAGTCAGTTTGAAATAAATAATAAATAAAAGTTCACTTTTAAGTGTAAATTTTAGTTTCATAACACTCACTTAGAGTTCATTATAACCCAAAAATCAAGTTTAATGTTTGAATTTTATTTTTTTGAAGTTTACAAAAATGCATCAAGTTCAAGTTTTTCTGAAGATGCATTAAGATATATTCGCTGTCCAAAAGTTTACAGGAAAATAATTAATTGTTCAAACCAATATGATGATATCATGGGCTTATCCTGCTAATTTATGCATTAGCATTATTTATGGTAATTCATTTATCTTAATTCTTTCACTCCACATAATTCTTCCATTCTTTTTTGACATTTGCCACTACTAAAGCTTTTCCCTTTGACTCGTGCTTGGTTGAAAAGTTATTTGGTGATTTACTTTCTCAAATCCCGTTTTTATTATTGCATCCATATTAACAGTAATGCTGTATTTCAATAATATATTTATTTGTATTTACGCTACATCAACGTTTACCTTTTCGACGTAACCTCAATCTTACTTTTTCTTCTTATTCTTTTTTGGGGCCACGTCCTTGACAGTTATCCGGTAACCTCGATCTAACATGAAAGCGCAGTAAATTTGGCTGATTTACGACACCAGGTGTCGCTGTTCCGAACTTGCACGGTCCCAATACTCTAATTTTCTACTGTGCTGTTTATGTACAATATTTTATGAATGTTTATAATGCAGGTATGACTGCATTTATTATATTTTATAAGTAACTTATTGGCAAACGGAAAACAGTTTGTTTATATAAAATATGCATTTTTCTTCTTTTTCTTATCTTCAATATCTCGAATTGGACTTTATTCTCCTGTAAGTTATACTTTCGACTTAAGTTCGTATACCTCTTACTCTATTATTTTATTTGTTAGGCAGCCTCTCTTTTGACCTTCCACAACTAGCTCTATGTTTAGTTTTACGTTTTTTGAAACTTCGACTTGCCTGACCGATGTACACTTTCTGGTATGTTTCAAAAGTAACCTTATATACTCCCGAGTATTACCTCGACTTTATCTGGTATGTATACTTTGATGAAAGTGGTGATATATAAGATGAGAATCAGATATACACTTTTAATTATTGATTTATTATTTATGTATATTTATACAATTTACGATTTGTTACCTAAAATCCATTTTAATCTTACAGAATTTATAGCATCAGCGTTTTATTATAATTTACTTAATCTTAAATGTTACTGCCCTAGTTTACTTTTATTTATCTGATTATAATCTGTGTAATACTTTTTATTAATATTTCTAAAGTAGTTTCATACAATTTATTTAACTCAGTTCATTCAAAAATGTAATATGTCAAATGCATAATCAAACTTAAATAAATGTATTAATATATATATATATATATATATATATATATATATATATATATATATATATATATATAGCAATTTACGATTTGTTACCTAAAATCCATTTTAATCTTACAGAATTTATAGCATCGGCGTTTTATTATAATTTACTTAATCTTAAATGTTACTGCCCTAGTTTACTTTTATTTATCTGATTATAATCTGTGTAATACTTTTTATTAATATTTCTAAAGTAGTTTCATACAATTTATTTAACTCAGTTCATTCAAAAATGTAATATGTCAAATGCATAATCAAACTTAAATAAATGTATTTATATATATATATATATATATATATATATATATATATATATATATATATATATATATTTATATATATATATATATATATATATATATATATATATATTTATATATATATATATATATATATATATATATATATACTACTCCCCAAAATTAACGCACCACCATAATGTTTTTTAAGAAATGTCAACCTTTTACCTATGTACAGTAAAACCTCCGTTAACCGAAATAATTGGGTGGGAGGCCGTTTCGGATAACAGGAATTTCGGTTAAAAATAACATTGTTTTTTATAGTATTCTTGGTTAAAGTATTATTATTAAAAAATACTATGAGGTGATTTCGTAATGTTTTCTAATAAGTAAATACAGAATATAGTAATAAAATTTAGGAAAATGAACAAGTTTAACAAGTTTGTTAAAGAAATCTTTTATTTTCTTTTACGGTATCGTTTGACAACGACGTTTTGCAGCTATATATCTCCATCGTTTATTTGCATACGTCGTGAGTTTGCCTCATTTTATCGTTCGACGAAACGTAAAGCAATCTGAAAAGGATAAAACTTTATACAATGATAACAAAAATTAAGAACCTAATCGTGTCCATAACTAATTAGGCCTACTGTATAAAATTCTTATCCTTAAGGCATTAAAAATCTCGTCGGATGTCTCATGCTGCCTGTTGTCTGTTGGGTCGTCATCTTCGTCGTCTGATATGCTTAGGTTGTCTGGATGAAGAACCATATCAATGATGTCCTTGTCGATGAATTCACTTTCTGAGTCATCGGCTGCTAACCACTCACGTATCTCTTCTTAGCTAATTTCATCACATCCCGGCAAATTTTTTATTAAAGGTTTAATTTCTTATGTCGTTTCTTTAACATTTTCTTCTTCAGGATCGTCAATCAAAATTTTATCAAAAAGTTAGTTCCAGCATTTTTCCAAAGTTGAAGATTTGATCTTGGCCCAGAACTCAGCACACCGATAAACAACATGTTTCATTGTTGAACATTTGAAGATTTCAGGAACACTTTTGGATTCATTTGTCTCCTGTAGTACCAGATGTCTTAAGAATGCTCGTCTATAATGTCTTTCGAATGTTTCTATTACTCCCTGGTCTAACAGCTAAATTAAGCTCGTGGCATTCGGTGGCAAAAATCTGACAATTATCACTATTGTATAGATTTTGAGTTAACAAGCTACAATGATTAGATGGGAATGTTTTTATTTTAAAAAGGATTTTACGCATGGGACGAATTAATTTTCGAACCATTCTGAACATAAAGTGGTCGACATCCATGAGCTTTTTGGCTTCTATAAAAAACTGGAAGTGCTTTTTCTCAAATATCTTTTAGATCTCTTGGTTTTTTTGATTTCCCAACATACATAGGCATCAATCGGTAAGTGAAATTAATGGAATTTACACTTTGCGATAAAAATTTACTTTTTATTGACGAAATTATTGAAACTGTCAGCCGTTTCGGTTAAACGATGTTTCGGTTAAAAAGGTTTCGGTTAAGGGAGGTTTTATTGTATATACAAAGTGTAAAAATAACGTTGTGTTTTTCATCTAATTTTCAACACCCTGTAGAATGTATTAAAACCAAACGCTACATGTTATTAATATTTCGAGAATGCCTCATTCTTTCTCCACATTTTCGTTTAGAAATCATCTCGATATCTTTATTATCAAAAAAGGAAAGTATGTTCAAACATTACGTGATTTTCTATTCTCCAAAATTAACGCACTATCTCAAATCTACCATAATTTTTAAGCTATTTTTCTTTTGAATCCTTAATTGGATTTCGATGAATTTTTTTTCGCAGTGTAGACTTATTTCTAATTACTGTAATTACTATAATTACTGTATTAACGTTTTCTGAAAAATATCAACGTTTCACCCATATACGGGGTGTAAAAATAAATTTGATTTTTTATCTTATTTTGCAATACCCAATAATGAAATAATTAATATTTCGAAAAAGCTTTATTTTTTTTAACATTTTCGTAAAAAATCATCAATTTCAGGTCTTTCAAAGCATAACGTGATTTTATCGAATTGTAACACTCATTAATGGAAGCAGTTAGTTGGATATGAAAAATTAAACAATTTGACAGGACAGTAACTACTGTCCTGTTGTAAACTAAAAATATTGTTTACAGTTAAAAAAATTGTTTTGCTATTTTGCGTATGTTATGTAGTTGACATGAACACTATTATAAGAAATTTAAGCTAAGATCAGGCAGGTGTTCAGGCAATTACTTTAGCTGATATAGGGGGGTTAAGTTATCGTAGAATAGGCTTGAGGTTAGGAGTATCTCATACTACAATATCATGAGTCATTCAACGTTTTCGAGAAACAAACGACCATACGAGGCGGCGTGGACAAGGAAGAGGACAACTCAAAACACCTCGACAAGATCAGTCTATCAGCCTTCGTGCTATAAGAGAACGTTTTCTTACAATGAGACATTTACAAATAGAAGTGGCAAATGCTCATACTATTCAAATTAGTAGAAACACTATACAAAGATGTCTCGCTGAACAAGATCTGTATATGAGGATACCACTCAGACCACCACGCTACACACAGTGCAATATACGACCTATTACTTTATTTAATGGAGGATCTGTAATGCTTTGGGAGTAATATCTCTTACAGAGCGAACGGAACTTCTTTCTTTACCAAGAGATCTCTTAACAAGAAAAAGATATATTACAGACATTTTGTCTAACCATGTAGTTCCATTTGCTCCTTATATAGGAAATAATTTTCTTTTAATTCATGATATCGCTCGACTACATGCTGCACATGTGGTCCGTGAATATTTGGACGAGGGGGAATACAAACCATGAGCTGGCCACCTTGCAGCCCTGATCTCAGTTCAATAGAAAATTTGTGGGATATTATTGACCGTGAACTCAGCAGCCAACAACCACTATATCTCTCTTGATGACATAGAAGTTATGGTGAAAGATGTTTGGGATGCAATTGATCAAGACCATGATTTTAAGTATGCCTCTTCGCTGTGAAGAAGTAATTAGATATAGAGGTAGAAATACTCGGTAATAAATATTTTTGGGAGAGGGAATTGTTAAAAATTATTTAGGGTATGTTCTCTTAGGCTTTATTTGTACTAAATGTCAATAAATTTTATGTAGATATTGTTTTCTTTGCTTGAAATGGTAATAAAAACTTGTTACATTTAAAATTCTGTTCAATCTTTAATAAAAGAGATATTAAAATAATTTTTGTACGAAAATATTAAAAAAGGATGAATCTATCTTAAAATATTAATAAGATGTAGCGTGTCTTTCTAATAAATTCCATAGACTGTGTCAAATTATGTATATTTTAGAAAGCATTAACACAATAATTTACTAGAAATACACCTATAACATAAAAAAAATCACCAAAATCCAATCATTCGTTGAGAAGAAAAATAGCTTCAAACTTATGGTACATTTAAGGTGGTGCATTAATTTTGGGGCATTAAAATTGGGTGCATATTATATATATATATATATATATATATATATATATATATATATATATATATATATATATATATATATATATATATATTATATATATATGTAATAATACTATAATAGTACTATAATATATACTGTAAAAATACTACTGAGTAGTACTACTCAGTAGTATTTTTACAGTAGTAATTTTAGTAATAATATTAATCTTAGCTCGAGGTTTTATATATATATATATATATATATATATATATATATATATATATTATATATATATATATATATATATATATATATATATATTATATATATATATATATATATATGTGTGTGTATAAATCGAAAGTTTAGCTTTACGTTTATTTTCCAGACAAACTAATAACAGGAGATTTTATTTAAAAATTTAATATGTTTACTTACAACAATCAACGTTTTCTGGGCGATCACAAGTCGTTAACAGGGGATTCCATAAAAGATCTGCTGGGCACTGCATTTCAACCTTCTCACCCTCAGTATTACATTCGTAGTACTTTGAACAATCGTATACATTAGGCCAATATTGTTGCTTCTCGCAATCAGGATCCCCTGCTATAGAATATAACATAATATTAATATCAACTTTGCTTAATAAACACAAAAAAATAATAAAAACAAACAAGAACTTCTCTAAATAAACCACTGATCAACATTAAATATTACAAGGTATATTATAAACAAGACTTTTATTAACAAAACATTTTATTTTATTTTATTAACAAAACAAGTCTGCGGTGTGTGTGAAGATTGTAACCAATATCGATGGTCTAGTGTACAGATGTTGTTAGTGCATTTTTAGTAAAATTTAGTTAAATACACTAACACATAATTTTAAACATGAATTTTCTTATGCACACAAGTTGTAAGTAATATCTTTAAACTTCTTGATACTAGCGTCATCTTCAAAAAGTGGCAAGTACTTCTACACTACAGAATTCTACTGCACATGTTGTAAGAGCACTTAACTTTGAAAATACCACGTTTGTGTCCAATAAAAACTAAGGTTAGTGTTGCTTTATTTCGGTTGCAATCATGTCGTTTTCTAGGGGTAAACAATGGTAAACCTAGTATTATCCGGAAACATAAGACTCATATCGGTAAGTTTCCGTTTATTTTAGAAATAGCTTCCGAATTCTTGACACCGGGCGATTATGTTTGAAATGTTTATTATGCATACTATTTTTGTACCAATAAAATAATTTTTTCTAGCAGAAATAATACAAACAATTGAACCTAAACCTTTAGATGTTACTGTTCCAATTGAAAAACATACCGAACTATCGGAAGGAAATAGACAGCTCTTGTTTTCTGTTGAAGGTAAAGGTTAGCAATTAATTTAATGTTAACCATATTTTAGTAATACCTATCTTGTTAAAAATATCTGAACAAAAAAGTAGTGCAGTTGCTATTGAAGAACCGTCTGTTTTTGAAGAGGTTGTAGAGTATGAAGAATTTAGTGAACCTTATCTAGAATCGTCAAGTTCTTACAATCCTTCTGTTATGGTAATGATTCTTCGACTGAGTCTGATAACGAAATACTTGAAAATATCGCGGAGGAAATAAAAGAGAACAAAAATAAGAAAAAAAGGTAACGAAAAGCGAACATAATCAATTGGCACCGATCCGTTGTCAAGAAATAAAGATTAAGTGGGAAAAAGTATATTCATCGAAGTGGAAAAGAAGTAACGGATAAAAAACCTAATAAAGTGGATTGCAGCAAATGCAGATATAAATCCAGTGAACATTTTTTGCAAGGTAATAGAGAGGCGATGTGTCAAGAGTATTACAATCTGGCTGATAATGTTCATCAGAAAATTCATCAAAATCTAAAAATCGACAAACATCCCGAGTTTATTATTTAAGAAAATCATAGAGTACTTTTATAATTTTTCTGTGGTACATTTGCGATTTCGCATAGAGTAGTCGAAAATTGTGCAAACGGTGTAAGTGCAAACGGGCTTTATATCGGACGTGATAAGAGAATTGGTGTCCAACCACCAAATGTCACTCCTACAGACAGCATACAAATAGTGAAGGAACACATTGATTCGTTCCCAAGATTATAATTACATTATTGTAGGCATGATTCACAGAAGCAGTACCTATCACCTGACCTCAATATTTCTAAAATTTAAAGATTTTAAAAGTACGATTTTTAAATGCAAAAGAATGTGCAAGCTATATCACTTTTTTTTTACCAAAACACATTTTACGAACATGATCTGAGATTGGATTATTACAAACCTAAGAAAGATCAATGTTAGCAATGCAATTCATACAATCTCGCCAAAGAAAAGAAGGTTACAACAATGACAAGCAACGCGAATAAGATGCTCTACAAATAAAAGCGGATGATAAACAAAGATCACGAGCAGACGAAGGCAAAACTTTTAGGCAAATCTTTTGATATGCAAGCGATTTTACCTGTTCTTCACGCAGGTGACAATCAAATTTATTATAAACGTCAATTTACGTCAAACTTAGCTGACGGACGGTACTTTAAAGTACCACTTATTTAAAAATATGTCTAGAACACATCTTTATATTTACCTTGATTTTTTCCTATAGGTACTTTAAAGTACTTTATAAAGAATAAAATAAGGTAATCTCAATCAACCGTCAACACATTTTAGCGCTAAAACAATAACGATATTGGTGCATAACCTAACTATTGTGTTGGGATTTGTCATCTGTAACACATGTGCCAATAAAGAAAATTATCAACGTATTTCGGTATAACTGATTATAATATCGTAGACAAAACATTTAAGTGCAAATGTAAGTATTTACTTTTGATAAATAATTACTGTTGTTTGAGAAAACTTATACTTCACGCTGCGGACTTAAAAGTACCGTCAGGCATTTGGAAGTAATTTATTACTGGACATAAATTTGTTTTGCGAATCTAGTTTCTTATTATATTCTAACCAGTTTCTTTTCTTTTAAAGTAAAAAAAATAGACTAGACTAGCAAAAAACCTTTGAAAAAGTAATGCGGAATTATTAAATATTGTTGAAAATTTCTTGTTTAAGGATATACTGGATGAACTAAATTTCCATACTAACAAAGAATCAGATAATGATGATGAGGTATTAATTAATTCTAATAATCTTTGAAAATTAAGGCAATTATCGAGCACAAGTTAAATCAAATCTTGCCCAAGTACTTTCGCTTAATATAGCATCTTCAGGGGCATTTCATCAAATATATGCTATCCAGCAAGCTTGCTCAAGAAATTATAGAGGAACTCGTGAGTTTTTGGTTGACGAATCGATAATACTTTTTAATTGACGGAGCTCTATAAAGCAGTACGATCAATATGGATATATTATAAAATTTGAAATTTATCAGGGAAAACATAACATAGTTGAAGACAATTATAAGTACTTTGGACTAGGAGCCCGTGTAGTTCTGCATCTTACTGAAACAGAATGGGGAAAGCAAAGAATGACTTATTTCGATAACTATTTTTTCTCTATGCCCTTGTTAGAGAAGTTAAAACGTGAACTAATTTCAGCATGTGGAACAATTAGACCGAATAAAAAGTTTCTTCCTAAGAACTTGACAGCTGATAAATTCATGAAGCGCGGAGATTTTGATTACAGGATTTCGTCGATGGATATTGGAGTGTGGAAATGGAAGGACAATAGAGTGTTTACTTTGCTAGTAATTACCATGGTTGTGAGAAAATAACTGTTCAAAGGACCCAAAAAGATGGTACTAAGGCTGATACTGTTGCTCCCATAATTGTAAAAAATTACAATAAATTCATAGGGGGTGTTGACCATGCTGATCGTTTGAGAACTGCTTATGGACTTGACAGACGTAGTAAGAAGTGGTGGCCTAGGCTATTTTGGGGATTAATAGATATAGCGACATATATATAATAGCAAATTATATAATATTCTGCGACATACGAGAAAACCAATCTCTTTTAGATTTTCGAAGAGGAGTTGCTATAGGCCTGACGGCTCACAAACTTCAGAAAACTTCATCAAAACGACGAAGACTGAATAGTGATGTCTACCCTGAAAGAAGAAGAAGAGGTACATATTATTTAGTTTTATCCGATGTCCGCCTTTCAAATAGAGGCTCTCACTGGGTAAAATATGGTGTCCAAAGAGGTAGATGTGAAGTATGCAGCAGCCAAGGTGTACAATCGCGACCTCATTCACCATGTTCTACATGCAAAGTTTATCTGTATTCGAATGAGAGGAAGAACTGTTTCAATATATATCACGATGTTCAATATTGATATATTTTTTACAAATAAATTGATAAAAATATCCGTATTTATCATTAGCCACCTAATAACTTACTACCACGCTAAATTACTCTACACAGTCTGACGGTACTTTAAAGTACCGCATCTATTTTTATAATCCGCCAACTAAGGGTTATAAGCAATTTCAGTATTTTTTACTTACCGATGGTGCTGCCAACAAACAGGACGGCGATAAATATTAAACTTGTAGCTGAAATAACAACAATGTTTTAGAGATAAACTGATAACGTAGGTCATAATTATTTACTTACAATGCATAGTGTATAATGTTGTATCACTTTCAAAACTAAAGCAAGAAAACTATCGAAGCGCTTTATTTATATAGTGTAGAAATGTACACTGATTTTTTCTTTATTTAATCTATAAGTTTTATTGTAAGTTTAAGTGATTTGTTCACGCCGGATGATACCACTTACAAACTAGTATTAAAAGATTACTATAAATATATTTATTAGGTACGTAAAAACAATTAAAATGATTTTTAATAAATTGCAGTTTAGAAATTACAATATAATCTTAAAAATATCCATATGCCCTTTTAATCCTCTAACTGACAAAATTCGAAAACTTATTCTATTTAGTTGGGATTTTCTTTAAGTTTAAAGTCTAAAAACCCAAAGAGCAATGGAAAGACAAATGTTGCACATAAAACTAATGGATAAGAAGAGAAACGAGTGGATAAGAGAGAAAACAAAAGTGAGGGATGTTAGACAAGAAGTTGCAAATTTGAAATGGAGATTTGCCAGACGCAATATAAGACAAAAAGAAGACCGATGGAACAAAATTCTTATAATTTGGAGACCGTGGGAATATAAACAAAGCAGAGGAAGGCCCCAAATGAGATGGGCAGATAATATCAAGAAGCACGTAGGCTCTAGATGGATGACTGTAGCGACAGACAGAGAAGAATGGAAAAGGATTGGGGAGGCCTATGTCCAAAGATGGACCGAAGAAGGCTAATTAGATAGATAGATAGATTGTATTAAGAAACCTTTTTCTTCTTCTTTGAGTGCCTCTCATATCGGAAATTGGATATCATTAGGGCGATTCGAATTTTATTTACTACTGTTTTGAAAAATTCGTTAGTTGTCCATCCAAACCACTCTCTTAAATTTCCCATCCAGGGCATTCTTCTGCGGCCTGGATTTCTGCGTCCTTGAATTTTTCCTTGCATTATGTTTTATAGGAATTTGTACTTTTGTCCTGTCATCAGATGGCCTAAGTATTCAGTTTTCTCTTTTTTATATTCAGTATAACTTGTGGA